GAAAAACAAAATGGCAAGCCCGGATGAATCCATAGAGGAGCCAAAGGTTGGAACCGGAGAGGAGCCTTGAGTATTAGGATTTTGGGTATGGAGCTATAATATAAGTAAACAAGCAGGCTGACTAATTAGCATAATATATCTAGAATAGGGTTTGGGAGATATTATGCTACAGCTAGAAAAACGCAACCCAAGGAATAATATTCCTGTTCCTGTTCCTGAGTGGGCTGTCGGGCTCACAGGGAGTGCGTCCCAAAAAAACAAATTCAACTAAGCGGTGAAACAGCAATCGGAGCGGAAGCCACTGGCCGTTGTAGCCAGTATTCAAAGGTTTCACCTCGGCTTCCCTCCATCCAGGTAAGCAGTAACCCAGGCGACGGTTGCTGGCGTAAGGCGGTATTTCCGCTGCTGTCTATCAATGGTTATGGTTTCGTCTTGGACGTCACCTAAACCTTCAGTAACGGTGGGAGCTCGAGGGCCTAAAGCTTCTGTCGCAGCGCAGGCAGCCGCGAACACGTTCCAAGCTCCTTTCTTAAGCTTCCGCTGACGAAGTTTGTCCTCCCTTTCGGCCTCAACCACCCCGGGGAGGCTCATCGGAGGCAGGACGTGCAGCAGTCTGAGCCAACATCTGGGCGACTTTGTAATATGATATTGCGTGCGTGTCACAGTATGATAAAACTTGCGGCATGCAGCACAAAATGGCCCCAGAGCATAGTGTCTGGTCACACTGAATACCTTGTGGGCTCGCGCTTGGTGGGCCCCAAATGCTTTCGAAGCCGAAAACCTGCTCCAGTGTCATACAAGGGGCAAGCCGACGGCTGTCGGTACTTCGGACACTTCCTCAACAGGTTCCGTGGTGCGGGCCTGCTCGGCACACACTTGCAAGTCACCTCTGTAGGCCTCGCTGGCCTTGTGTGCTTGGCGCATCGCGCCCATGCTGCATCACAAACACTAACAACCGAGTCAGGCAGTGAAAGCAGATTTCTCGCTGCGAGCCTGATCGGGCAAGCCCCGACGCAAACTCCGCCGCTGCCTTCTGAAAACAAGCTGATGTGCCTGCTCCTGTTCGTCGATCGCTGTAGCCAAGTCCGTAGTGAGGCGGGCCTGGTCTCTTTCGTGCCTTGCCTTTTCTTTGTTGTAGGCTTCCTTCATCTTTTGTTGGTACTCTCCCCAACGGGTAGCCTTCTCGTGCTGCTCCTTTTTCAGGCGATTGACCTTGGCTTCGGTCTTCCTGGGCACATTTACCGCCTTCTGCACAACTCCAACCAAGGAGTAAGCTGCGGGCTCTGCAGCATATCTGGTCGCCGTCACACCGCGATGCGTTCCGGTCCTCCTGCGGTCCACTCTGCATCGTAGGAGGGAAACTTCGTATGGTCTTGTTGATACTGCTGTGCATTCCCTCGTCCGCCAAGCTCCAGGCCAAACCGAACAAGAAGGCAAATCTGACCACTGTTCGGTAGACCATGGTGCTCGAGCTTGATTCGTGCCTGCCCTTCCCATGTAAGCAAGTCGTCTTCTGAAAGTAGGATTGGCAGAGTGATGAACTCCCAGCTGCAGGACCCGAAGTCGTGGCGGTTGTCCGCCTCTTTTCAGCTGGCGGCGTGTTCGCTGCCGTTTGAATCGCAGGCGGCGGCGCCACACCGTCTCGAACCGTGGCGTGGGGTGCGCAGGGGAAAGGGTTGACGCACTTGTAAGTGCTGGGGCCAGTGTTTTCCTGACTACAGGCGATTTTGGCCCTAAGGAAAAATATTGGGAAGTATCCCGGCCCTCAGTAGTATCGGGGCCTAGAATACTACCAATACTATTTTGGTGCTCCTCATTACAAGTACAGTACAGTATACCCCAAAACCCGACTCTAATTATTAAGGCTCCTGCAGTAGGTCCAGGCATGTGCCAAGCTATCCCAGCCCTCCAACTGCCTGCTCGCTGTCGCAGAGACAGACCTTGCACCAGTAGCTTCTGTTTCAGACTTCTCACGGTCCCTTGTCATACAATCTTGATATGGGGGCCCGAATACAAACATTTTTGGATGTGGCTTAAATCAAGGCTATGGCGGCTACGAGGGAATATTGCTACGGACATTCAGACCCCTATCTTACACAGCCTTATTCGCCCTTGCAGAAAAAAGGGATCATGACAGCGAGGAGACTTCAGGCGAAAATGCTGGTCTAATCCGACTTGAGGCAACACCGATGGCAGCCTTGACGGAACATGGGAACTGTAAGGACAAGAGGTGAGATGGGTTTTAGGACGCACACTAGCTAGCACTGCCACTGCCAGTCATCATAATGCTAATAGAAGCCACGACACCAACCACAGCCTGGATACAGAGCATCACAATAGTCCTATAACGGCTCCATCCCGCCTCCTCCTCGTAGTATGCCCAACGGCCATCTGTCTTGATCAGGCGGTCACCTCGAGGACGGCTATCTCAGAATGAACCAGTCAGGGGCGAACAAGAAGAAGATGTGCCTGGCAACCACTCTCCCACATGCCTCCCCCTAGAGCTCTAGACCCTAATCCCCTGAACTCCTGAACCCTAGGCCCTAGACCCTAGACCTCCCAGCTTCATAGCAAATTGTCTGGAGCCTCTCAGCGCTACGAGGCTTCCAAAAAGTTGCGAAGAAACGAAGCAAAAGGAAGTAAAACACGACAAACATCTTGGAACGCTTCTGCCTTAGACCCTGAACCCCTAAACCCCTAAACCCCCAAACCCGATACCATAAACCCTAAACCTAAACCCTAAACCCTAAATCGCTGACGCACCTAAAGACATCCAAGAAAAGAACTCGGGCATGGGCCAGGCTGAACCACGAGATCTGGCCTACCGATGACCTGCTGCCAGACCTTTCGAGGTGTTGTTTTTGCTGATCAAGCTTATTTTAAGCTTCCCTTTGCTTCTGCCCTTCAAAAAAGGAAAAGTGAATGGGGTTCAGGGTTTAGGCTTGAGGATTAAAGCGTTTAGAGTTTAGGATTTATGCTCTCGGGTGTAGTGTTTAGCGGGCTAAGGTTTTGGGGCTTAGGCTTGGGGGTCTAGGGTTTAAGGTTGAGGCAGGGTTGAGGGTAGGGTCTGGGGTTTAGGGTTGAGTTCGGGTTGAGGGTAGGGTTTTGGATTCAGGGTTCAGGGTTTAAAGTTTAGGAGCTTGAGCTCTAAGGAATAGCAGTGGCGACTGTTTGGGCTTCTGGACTATGGCAAATGTCGCTGAAGCGGTGCCGAAGCCGAATAGCCGGCAATGCCCCACCGTGCACCTATGTTGTCAAAACCTAAAGCCCCGAACCTGAAACCATAACCCCAAACTGAGGTCCCAGCATTCCACCGGTCTAGAGGAGAATGCTGCCGAATCTCCCGTAGGACGCGCGCACCAGTATCGTCAAAGGGCCTCGGAAAATTGCATATTTGGGATGGGGTGTTCCCTGAGGCATCACTGCTTTGAAGCTGTCGGAAGGGTATGCCACCTTGGCTCTACCAAGAGGAAACGCACCCACAAGAGCCAGCACACTCCCAGTTCTCGTCGAGTCTAGTTCAGCTGTGAACCTCAAGACGTTCTGACACGAAAGTTTTGCACCGTAACGTCCGATAGGCCATGAAAGTCCAACTCTCTGCTTGGGGCCTACTGGCGGTGTCGCAGCACCTGGGAAACCCGGCTCTTCGTGCCACTCGTAGCCCCACGGGACCAGGACGCTTGGGCGCGTGAGCACCACACGGAAAGCCCGCCTGAAAAGCAAACGACGGACTGTAGATACTTGGCTTTATGGTTCAAGCTAAGGCAGTCGGGGCTTTTGCGTTGCTTGGAACTCGTTGTGAAGAAAGTTCGAAGCCTCTCTTTGCGGTTGCCGGCGCTGCTTGAACAGGGACTCATCTTTAAGCCTGTTCCGTTTACCTCTGTATCACCTCTACCCTGTGTACTACATATGCTGAGGTGGCAATCTGTTCTCAGCCACAGCTAGACGAGTCACTACAACGTCTGATGCCTCTCCTTCCTCATGTCTTGTTCAACTGCTGGAGCTCCAGCGCTGATTCTGCAGCCGCCGTTCCAAGTAACTCTGCAATTGCTCCTGCCAGTCTCTTCTCCTCTTCTTGGCCCTCCTCCGGCTACGACTGCTCCTACTTGTGGGGACTGAGCATGACCACGACACCAAATATGATCACAACTGCCAGCGCAAACGGCGCAAACACACGACCACGACCACTCGCACTAGCCACAACCGACGGCCACCAGTGCCACTCAGCCTCGGCTCCGGAAAACAGAAACAGAACTCACACCCATGACAGCCACACGCAAAAGCCACGGGAGCCTGCGCGCCCGCTGTGAGGCCGGTGAGCTTTTCTTGGCTCATCGGCTCTGACTGGTACGCGACGTTCTGTCGTCCACCCCTAAACCTAAACCCCCAAACCCTGAAGCCTAAACTCCCTCAACCCTCAACGCCCCACACCCCCGCCCTGTTAAGGCCCTGGCATGAAGTTAGTGACCGCGCCGGGGGGCGCCCGGGAGCTCCTGTAGAAGGGGTGTAGGATTTCAGGCTTTCATTAGGGTGTCATAAGGGTTTCGGGTTTTTTGGATTTCAGTAGCGTTTTGGGGTTTAGGGGTTTTAGGGTTTGGGGGGTGTCATTAGGGTGTGGGATTTAGGGGATTGAAGCGGCTAAGGAGGGTCAAGGGGGCTGACGGGGTTTAGGGGGTTAAGGGGTTTAAGGAGTTTAGGGGGGTTCAGGGGAGCGGTAACTCAGCCAAAAACCGCTGAGTGGAAGAACGTACTCGTGTCGAGATGACGAAATACAGAAGCAAATCCCACAACAACAGAGCCAATTATTCCAAAAGGTAACAGTAACGTCGTGCTAGAGGATGCGGCAGGTGAGCAGTTACCCTCAATTCGGGAGCTCTGGAGTGGCACTCAAGTCAGCATGATGCTTGAAGCACGTTTTTCGGCAGCTGTCCACATCATTTGCGTGGTTGTCCACACTCCTTCGGAGAGTGGCTTTCCACAAGAAGCGCTAGCCTTCCAGCCTACTGCAGCGTCTCCGGCTGCTTGTTTGGGTGGTGCGGCCGTGCCCACCAGCCCCAACCAGCCGAAACATTGGCGTTGATGATGGCAGACACGATCAACCAGACGATGGCCATCCACAGGTCAGAGCGACAAGTGAGCTGTGCAATGACACCTCCGGGGACAGCGTTAACAAAGACTAGTTTCAGCGAGAGCATACAGCCCATTAGCAAGCTACAGCTGCGCCTCCAAGCATGAACCAGAGATAGGTGAAGATGTAAATCACGAAAGTCTGCAGATGGTCCTGGACATGGACAAGCACGAACTCACCGTTGTTTACAAAGCGATGTTATGCATTGTATGTCTACAACTCCTGCTGTCGGGCATTACCCTACTTCGTGGTATTGTTCAACCCCATGCTTGCCGTTCTTACCATCATCTTGCCCCGAATCTGATCTGAGGTCCGCATATTCTCAATATCTGGTTACCAATTCGAATCGAACGCCCACTCGGATCAACAACAAGGCGTAGAGGCACATGGAACATGGAGGATGCAAAACCGGCGGAGGATTTGCGAAAAGTGCCCTGAAGGGACTAAAGGCTTATCATTCTACACCGGCATGCATCCCTGCACCACCCCAACCTCAGCATCTATTGCTACACCATAAAGCCAAAACACCAAAACCCAATCCCAAAAAACGAAAACTGAAAAACGCGAACTTTGCACAGCCCCGTCCGCCCAGCCGGACCACCAAGGTTCAGCATAGCGTTCGACGAGATACGACACCACCCTACGGAGGGATGAGGGTTCAAGGTTTAACGGAGTTTAACGTTTAGGGTTTAAGCTTTAAGAGTCCAGGAGTTTAGGGGTTACGGGTTTCGGGCATGGCTGAAGGGTTAAACGAAGGCTTTAAGGGATTAGGGTTCTTAAGGTTTAGAGCTTGAGAACTAAAGGCCCGGTTAGTCATAATAGATAGGGTTTTAGGGTTTCGGGCTGAGGGTTTGGAGCCGTTCTCAAACGCAGAGCTTGCGGTTTCCCACATCTGTGTGCACTTGGTTGCGGGCCCGAGCCCGCATCCTCATCATCTTGAGTGATGCTGCCAGCGGGCGCACGAAAGCCCTGAAACCCGTAAAAACGATAAAACCCGAAAGATCGTAAACCGTAAACTCATAAACAAAAAAACCTAAACCCTCAGACACTAAAAACCTACAAATCCCGAAAACCCCAAACTAAAACCCTCAACCCTAAAGTTTCAATCATGGCTTCTGACCAAGAATACCAACAAAGGGAAGGTTGCGGTAGCTCGCCTCGTCCCCTCCCCTGTGGTGTGGTGGTAAGCTATGCTGTGTGCTGCAGTGTGAACTGTATCCCACAACCCTGCCCTTACAAAAGCAAAGACAGTCATGCAGATCATGACTTGGTGTTAGCCACAGCTACCATGATCGCGAGCCGCGGTTTCCCTGCATGTCGAAGCCATGCACAAGCCACGAGGAGCGTGACTCTAGCAGGACCAATCCCTGCGACTTTTGGCAATGTTGCATCGAAGTCGCACCCAGCCCCGAAAACGACGATTGTCACGATGGGGAGTACGAGGGGAGTTGGGCCTTGGGGGCCCGCGAGTATTTCTACGTGCTTAGATAAAAGCTGTAACAGACCAACTATGGTCTAATACAATATTCTTAACATACTATAGTCTACTCCAACATTCCTGTGTTCTAAACAAGAGAATAGACATGTCGAGAAGGCTCCGGCCTGACGGTTGTCACAAACCAGCAGACCTGCAAGCCGAATCCGAAGCCAAACAGGGTGGAGAGGAGGCAATTCCTGGGTTGTAGTATTGGGGTTTAAGGTTTAGGGTTTAGGATTCAAGGGCCCTTAACAGTATTTATGAAAGGTACCTCTATAGGAACCATAAAAGGAAATTAAAACGCTTCCTAACGTGCCACCTAGATTCACATCTGCGCCACCCTTCAGGAGCGCCGTAAAGTCATCCACGGCCGTGGTGAAAGTAACGATACTTGTCCTTAGTTCCTTTGCGTAAGGCCGGTTCAGGGCTTAAGGTTTAGGGTTTAAGGTTTAGGAAGGGTAAGCTGGACCTAAAGGATCCCCTGAACAGATTGCACCGGAGGACAGTCAAGGAAACATGGAGAAACAATGCCCTTCTTGAACACCTCCAGAGCTGCGGAAGCCTTCGAAGCCCTGTTCAAACTGCCGGGCATCATCCATGCGTAGGACAGAGGAAGGCTGGTGCACCTCGTGGACAGAAGCTCCTCAAGTAGCAGCGAAATCGAAACAGCCACCATTCGTCTTCATGATTGTAGCCGCGTCATCCACACTGACATCTACGTCTACGTCATCACCCTCATCCATAACCACCTTTATTTTCTCAGGTTCATCGAAACCGTCGCTGTCATGTTGCGGGTCATCAACGTTGTCTTCTTCTGCGTCCTCCTGTGCTCCTCCTCCGCCTCCTCCTCCTTGCCATCATCACCACCAGCCTCTCTCCGCTCTAGGCCATGACCTGCAACGAGTCTACGGCTAGCGCTGACTGATGTACAGCGTCGAAGAGTTGTTGCGCATCCCGCCTCAATACATGCAGACAACGGGGTAGTGAGCTCTACTAACAAAAACGATCCACATACCGATGTGCTTGACCAAGCTCTGTGCTGCACTGTTGCTATGTGGCGTTATTCTTCGTATTAAGACTTTTGGGGTGGGCAACCACTATCCCCTTTTTACACCAATACCAGCAGTAGGCACACCAAAAAAAGCCAATATCACTGCATACGCCGAGCGAGAAGAAGAACAACCCTATTGGGAACCTACTGATAAGCACATCGTTCCCGACTCTGACAAGCTCCTCGCGAAGTGGGCCGCGGACATAATTCACGAAGGCCTCCTCGAAAAGCTTGCTTCGGGGCGGATGCCACATTGAGAGTCAAGACTAGTACTGACTACTGTTGTTAAGAAAGCCACAATCCCCCCCCGTGTCTCATCAATCTGTAGCCAGGTGGAAGAACAGATAGTTCAGCAAGTGCAAAGTTCATGGTTCACTTTTCGCATCCCTAGCTGCAACTATTCCTTACGGCCGGAAGCCTTAACGTCAATCGAAGTTTTCACAACGTAGCCATGCAGCACTCCTGTCAATACCGCTGTCTAACTTGACTGAAGTCCCGGAAACCCAAGAAAGGCCATAAACCTGAAGCACTATACCTGACCTACCTTAAGCTCCGAACCACAAGATGCGCCTTGCTGCCATACCACTGCTCGATCGCCGAATGGACGAAAGCACGGTCGAAGTCACTACGGGTTTCGGCCTCACCCCGCGTCTCAGGGCTGAGGGGTGCTTCCTCTGCTGTCACTACTCCTACAGGCCTACCACTACCATTATCACTACAACTACCACCGCTGCCACTACGACTACTACTACTACTACTACTACTGCTACTGCTACTGCTACTGCTACTGCTACTGCGACTACCACTACCACTACCACTGCGACTGCGACTGCGACTGCTACTGCTACTGCTGCTGCTATTGCTTCCATCACCACTACCACTACCACTTCTGCTCCGGAATCTGCCCAGAGAGCCCAAGACCCCTTAACAAGGGAGTATACCTCAACACAATAAGATGAAGAAACAGGCTTCCGCTGCACATCTGTGCGTGCACCCACGAGAAGCCAGGAGGCCGCAAGGCACCCCATACTACCACATCGATTTTGGGGAAAAGGGAGGGATATACCTAAACCTGCAAGATTAAGGCCTCTACCCCTAAACCCTAAACCTTAAACCCCTAAACCCTAAACCCCTAAGCTCCTAAACCCTAACCCCTAAACCCCAAACCCTAAACCCCCTATTCCTTCGTCCAGGGGTCTCCTTCAGCTCTCTGATTTCCTCTGCGGTCTCAGCGCCTCAGCAGCAGCGAGTAACCAGGAATCTGCCCAGCCTGGTGCAGGGCACTTGCAGGGTTTGGGGTTATAAGGGTTCCCTTAAGGAGCTCTATAAGGGTACTATAAGGGTTTAGGGTTTTAGGGGTTTAGGGTTTACCCTACACCCTAAACCCTCAGGGCTCAAGTCTCCGGCGCGCTTCGGGCTTTAGGAGGGTTTGGACCTTTGGGGTTTAGGGGACGTCGGACTCGGGTAACTTTGCGCCGCTGGCAGGGTCTAAGGTCTTGGAGTTGTGGGGTTTTTGCAGGTTTCGGTTTAGGGTTTAGGGGTTTAGGGTTTAGGGGGTTTGGGTTTGGTTCTTTTTGGGGTGTGGGGTTTCCGGTTGTGGGGATGCTATTGGTCATCTAAATGCTCCTGCTGTCTTTAACACGGACCACAGGACAGTGTATGCAGCATCACACCGTCTAGATACTGCTACTTCTGCTTCCAACAGTCGCGATATAGGCTTCCATGCATTTGCCCAGCCACCAAAAAAACCTAGAACCCCAAAGCCTTGAACCCTTAAGCCCTCCACCCGAAAAGCCGGGTCTTATGTGTTAACCCGCCATAGCACTGAAGTACCGAATTGGCCTAAGCAGCTACGAAGGGGGACAACGGTATCAGTTAAAGACAGGACCAAAAGTTGCGCCGATAACAGCAAAGGCAGACGGCGTAGAAATCATTGCAAACATCTATAAGTAAAGCCCTTTACTCATTACTACCACACTTCTAAGTAGTAGCGTTGCAAAAGAGAACCCAATACCCCTTAATTAAGGAATATACCTTAAATCATAATACTAAGGCCCCTAAAATTTAAGGGTACATTCCCTTAAGGCCCTATATTTTAAGGTATATTCCTTAATTGAGGGGTACTGGGTTCTCTGGGTTTATAGGTCGCGCCTTCTGCCTCCTTAAGCCCTGAGCCTCGAACGCTAAATCAGTACTGACAAAGAATGGTTGCGACTGCTATGGTTTAGGGTTTTAGGGTTTAGGGTTTTAGGGTTTAGGGTTTTAGGGTTTGGGGTTTGGGGTTTAGGGTTTTAGGGTTTAGGGTATGCTAAGCCCCGGGAGCCCACACAATGAGCCTGATACGTGGAGTAGTAGACGGAGCCCAATACCCCTTAATAAGGAATATTCCTTAAATTATAGGGGCCTTAATATTGTGGTTTAAGGTGTACTTCCTTAGTCAAGGGGTATTGGGTTCTCTGGGTAGTCCTAATCGCAACAACCGCAAGCCCCCTTCCAACCTCATGCGATCGATATCTTAGGGAGTCCACCCCCCGCGCGTTGGCCACCCTAACCCCTAAACCCTAAACCCTCGTAGAAACCGTGGCGGAACATGGGAACCACTTCAAGGTAGATGATCAGGTCGTCAACGTAAACCAGCACCAGGGTCAACGAACCATCAGATTCAAGCCTGTGGTGCACAGTGGGATCGGCAGTCTCACCAAACCCAAACTTCCCACGCAAAGTGTTGGTGAACTCAAGGTACCAATTCAAAGGGCCAATCCTCAAACCATTCATGGCTTTGCGCGAAAAGAGGCTTGTTCTGTTCATCATACATCCCATTCGGAAAGCGGATACACTCAATCCCTTGCACAGGGGCCTGCATAAATGCAACGCTTACATCTGCAGACAGAAGAGTTCCACCTCTCACAGCATGGATCGCCAAGACTCCACGCAGAGCTTCGAGGGAGGTGGTGGGACTATATATCCCATCAGCTAAAGGAATCGAACAAACAGCATGATCTCTCCGAACTGCTCATTCAGGAGCGTTTTCGGCCATCCTAAAGCTGGAACGCTTTTGGAACCCTTTCACTTACTTCTCCAATAAGCCACAAAAATACAAGGTTCAACTCTCAGGTTACTACTAAATTCTAAGAACCCCAAAAGTTTCAAGGTTGGGTATGGGGGAACTAAGTTAAAGCAACCGCTTAAAAGGAGCCCCTTGGAGGAACTACCAGAGGTCAATAGGTAGAGGAGGGCTTCGGAAAGACATAGGGTTAGGGTTTAGGGTTTAGGGTTTAGAGTATAGTAATGTGGAGCCCGAAGCAACGAAATTACTACGTATTCCGACCAAATGCTAAAAAGGTACGTTGCAGCATATTTATAATGAGGAGCCTGATTGCACATACTGCTTGTTCAGAATCCCCCAACCCCCTCCCCCCTAAACCCCTAAACCCCTGAACCCCAAAACACCTAAACCCTAAAC